CTCTGGATCAGCTCTGATGGGGAGACCCTGAAGGGTGCTCGTGGTTTGATTTTTGTCTTCCCACCTGGAGCTCTTCCCAGAATAGTTTTAGATCTGAAAACTACCAGTTGTTGAAGCAGCTTACATTTTAGAGTAAGAGTTGGGTTTAAAGACTGAACTAGAATTTACTGGCCATGTGACCGTGGCCAAGTCACCTCACCTTGATAAGCCTGTTTTCCCTTCTGTGAAAAGATGACTTCCTACTATTTAACTGGGGTCATGGTGCTATTTAAAGAGAGCAGAGAGCATCTCATATAAAGCATGCAGCCGGGCATTTAGTAGATGGTAGGCTGCTCCTTTTATGCTGAGGAACATTTCTCCAGCAGAATGTTAACTGATGACGAGGCTTCTGAGGCAAAAGTTATTTCTGAATGACAGGAAGATTGTATTTATAAAGCTCTTTAAGAAACAATTTTTCAAAAGAGCAGTTGCATTAAATGAATTCTTTTGATCACAGAATCTGGAACACTAGGGCAAAGCAAAGCTACTGCCTGCATTCTACGCAGAAGACATGTCCAAGGTCAGTGTTGGCATCGGCAGGGCTGGGCCTATGCATTGGCTCCGATTTCTGGTTGGTGCTTCCTGCCTGAAACAGGATTCAACCACTGCATGTGGAGATGAGCATAGAGAAGTGCACCTTTCTTTGTGTTGGGGACAGCAAAACAGGTGTGGCTTGTGCCTTCCCACGGACATGACGTTGCCCAGGAGCCACAACAGGGCAGTGCTACTGCTCCTAATTCATAATTTCTGTAAAAATTTGGCCAGCGTTATGCATTTTTTACATGAATTGCTCATACATTTGGCTGAAAGCTTGTTTATTTCTCCTGGTTCCTCCTTAGTGACTGTTTACTTCCATGTTGCTTGCTCTGAGTAAGACCCCAGAGAGAAATAATTGTGGTTCTCCCTACAAGGTCTTGAAGTTGAACGACCACAATGGTTCCCCGGGGAAATTAAGTCCCCAGGAGCCAAAGGAAGGGCTCCTCATTGGCAGTTGTGCATGAAGCGATGGGAAATGTGGCACCAGGGACTCACATTCACGTTTTTACCCAGATCGCTTAAAAAACGGTTTCTACCTTCGAAACATTAGCCATCTGCAGCAAGCTTTGCAATTAACTTCAAGGTTGCAATCTTCAATATGATTTCTCTTTAATGCTCAGAACTGCATTAGATGATGTGTTCTAGTCTGGCGTAACACCGAAGAGCTGTAATTGCCTGGTTATTGAAAAAGCGGATAAAAAAACATGTTACCTCCTTCCTTCACTGCAGCTCTTCTCCCCACTGCTGAGTCTGATAACCTGCACAGTCCAGCTTTTCCCGGCTTCTCACTCACTGCTTGCTGGGCGTTTCTTCTTGGATGCACGCAGGTGCCGGGATTTCGGAACTCATCCTTTTCTATATCCTGCCATAGAGATGTCACCCAGACCTGAAACCTGGGCATCCCTGGTGAGTCCTTTTTCAACTCCCACGGCCTCTTGCCATAGAGTTCCAGTCTCATCATTTCTTGGTTATTGCAGCAGCCTCTTGTTTCCTTGACTCCCGCCTTGCTGAAATGAACCCCCCCTCCTCCCAATTAGCTGCAACCTTGCCAACACTATCTCCATAGTGATACTTTCTGCAATTAAACACTGATTTTGTCATTCCACGTAGCCTTCAGGGGAACCTCCAGGCTTCTGCAGAGAATTACAAAGGGCTTATCACATGGCAGGCACCCATCTGTATTTTATGCAAATTAATTTGTTTAAACCTCACAACAGGTGAGGTGGGCACTATTATTTGATTTGCAGATGAGGAAACTGAGGTACAAAAATTAAGTTATTTGCTCAAGGTCAACAGGTGCCTCTCAGAATATAAAAGTAGTTCACACAAAGTAGTTCGTGTGTTTTGAGGACTGAGGATTATACATGTGAACTTCAGGTTAATGAGTTTCTATAAAGCAGAGCTAATAATCTTGGCTTCAAACATTATGTTACTGTACAAGATAACCTAATGGATAAGGAGTAACAGTCAGCTTGCCGTCAGTCCCTGCCTCCTTCTGCGGAGAATAGAATTAGCTAATTAAGCGTCATATATGTTTATATAGCACAGGTGCACACACACAAACACATTTGCATATAAAATATATGCACATATGAGCAAACAAAACAGCACTGCTATCAGGAACTCAAAGAATAACACTTCTATATGCTGACATTGCTTGAAAAATTAAAGAGATTTAAAATCACATCATTTCTTGATGGATCTAGAATGAGGACTGTCTTTAAGGCTTTAAATTGATGCTATGTGATGAATATATGATAATCTGTATTTCTCTGAGAGAAAATATAATCTGGTTAGTTTTTACAAATAAGTCAAGCAATGAGGTATTTCCCAAATTAAATAGCAAAGATAAAAAAATACTGTGTACCGTCAATCCTAATTAACACAAGTGTATCCTGATATTCTCACTACGACTCGGCTTATATGTGGCTGAGTTTTCAGTAGTACGTTTATAATTATGGGTTAAATACGGTTATTTTACCCACTAATCTGGCTGGATTATTACCAGTGTGAAACCATCTCTTCATGAAGCCAAACTTCTTTGGTGTTGCCCTCCACCATGTAGGGACCCCGAAGGCACTTTCCTCCTTTTTCTGCTCACTGCAGCTCTGCTCCAGCTTTCTTGTCCATCATGTCTGCCTCGTCTAGTCCCAGGTCCCAGGACATCATACAGTACTGTGTCAACCACGTCACAATTGCTAAACACAAGTCAACATATATGTATGTTTTTTTGGTAGATATTTTATATATATATATAAAATAGATACGAGGTCGGAAAATTAAGTCTGCGAACTCATCCTAGAAAACGTGCTACACACCTCATTACTGAATATCACTATGGTTTCCTTAGAAGTACTCCCCTTGGGAAGCTATGCGCTGAGGCCAGCACCTAGTCAACCCTTCAAAGCAAGTTTGGGAACTCTTTTTCTGGAATGGCCATCAGAGCTGCCGTCGTATTACCCTTGATGTCCTGAATGGCATCAAAATGTCTTCCTTTCAGTATTTCCTTTATCTTTGGATAAAGAAAGACGTCATTGGGGGCCAGATCAGGTGAGCAGGAAGGGTGTTCCAAAACAGTAATTTGTTTACTGGCTAAAACCTCCCTCACAAACAGTGCTGTGTGAGCTGGTGCATTGTCGTGATGCAAGAGCCATGAATTGTTGGCGAAAAGTTCAGGTCGTCTAACTTTTTTACGCAGCCTGTTCAGCACTTCCAAAGAGTAAACTTGGTTCACTGTTTGTCCAGTTGGTACAAATTCATAATGAATAATCCCTCTGAATCAAAAAAGGTTAGTAACATTGTTGCAACAAGTTCACGAGCTTAAATGTCAGACCTCGTATATATTTTCAACTCACACACTGTAATAATATAATAAAATTTGCAGGGGATAAATGACCAATCTGGCTTCGGGGGCAAAGATATGGCTTAGCAACAAAATGTTTAGAAAGCATTAGGATTTTAGTGAACAATATGCTCAATATCTGCCCAAACTGTCATTCAACTTCCAAAAAAGCTAACATGACTTTAAGCTGCATTAATGGAAGTGTAGACTCTAGAATAGTAACTGTCCTTTTTTCTCATCCGAAATACTAATGAGAAATTCTATATTCATTTCCATTTGTCATTAACTACAGTAACTCAAAGCACACTTCCCCAAGAGAATACGTCAGACGCTTAAGATGGGGGGCAGGGGAAGGGTATGTCCACCCCCTGGAGAGTCTAATACGCTGTTCCCCACACTTAGGCAGGTAGCACCTCTTCCCACCCCTTTCAGTCGTGATCTAGAACAAGGAGCTGATAGCTTATACCTTGACTATAATGTCGGTTCTGGGCGTAAGACTGCTGCATCCCACGCACACCTGGTGGAGAGCAGGAGCTCAGTAAACACTTACTGAAGGAGCGAAGGCCATATGTGGATAGGGGTGCTTTCAGAGACCAGAGCCTGGTTGGCTCAAGACTCAAAAGCAAGTCCTCTGAGGAACTAGAGGTGCACACTAAGTGCAGAGGGAACACAGTCATTCTTTCCAAAAGGCTTTCCAAAGGCTGAAGACCTGCCCTACGAGATGGTTCAGGCTCTGGTGGACGAGATGGTTTTACTCTGTTGCCCAAGGTAGAACTAAGGCAGGGAGACACACTGCCACTCAGTGTCGGGGAGAACTCTAAGGGTCAGAGCTGTGGAAAGTGGACTGGGCAATCTCGAGGAGCTCAAACTGCCCGCCAGTGAATTTCAACAGCTGTGTACAATGCCAGTAGTTATCTGTTACTAAAAATAAAACAGTGAACTTTAAGAATGTGTATTTAAGGAGAAATAAACTAGAGCAGATTCAAAGTTATCTCTAAAACGTAACTCTCACTGGCTTACATTCCAGTATACTCTCTGAGTGGAAGAAGCCAGAACGGGTGTGAGTCAGCGCACTGGGAGTGTCCAGGGCTTGGGCCCGTGGGGGTGTCCTGTGGTGACCCTTGGGCTAGAGGACCATGTAGTGCATGTTTTTTTCAAGGCGGGTGGATGCCAGTATTATAAAAAATTACTTTAAAGGTGTCTTTCCACCCTATGATTTTTGTTATCTCAGCATGTGCATATTTATTTAGTTCCACCTTTTATAGATAATAAGAGCCCTGCTACTGTCACAATGGCCATGCATTTTTAAAAGCTTTAAGGGTTAGGGAAACACTAAGGCACAGATTCCATGTCACATTGGGGTACTGCTGTGTCTGTCTCCTCATCTATGTGTTTATAGACATTTTAAAGTAAACTAAAAAAGTAATCATTATTTTTGATAAAAATATAAAAAAGCTCATTACAGATTTGTTATTTTGGAAAAATTGATAAAACACATTATGGTTAAAGAACAGACTTTATGGTAAAATGCTTAAAGTGTTTTTTTCACTCTTTCTTGATTTGTCTGAGAGCTGGCTTGGCAGACTGTGCAGCTATGAAATATTCATATTTGCTGAATAAACGAATGACTGAATTGTAGCTAATGTTCTCCCATATTTGGGGTAGTTCTCACACCAGAGAAGTTAGAAGATTGTTGGCTGCCCCAATTTGCATATTTGTATACAAAGAGAAGAAGAGGTAATCATATCTTTTCTTTCTCAGGGAGACACAATAAAGAAACATGAATAAATAAAATGAACTAGCTGTGTTGTCCCCAATTTCAGATTTATATAATTCCTTTTCTCTCTTTCTTATTCATCTCCCCTGTCTCCTAAAACACAGTTCACAGAATAAATGATACTGTCTGTGTCCATGAAGTCAAAACTGACCAACATGAGAAATATCAAGAACTTCCCTACATTTTTACATTAGAAATTATTAGCTAACAAACTTTTCTACAAAGAAATAACCATACGTGCTCAGCTCTGTTGCTAAACATACCTTAAGTCTGTTCAAATTCAACAGAGGTGAGAAAGGCCTATTCTCTGCATATTAGTAGCCTGTCTTGTCCTAGGAGTATTCATGAAGGAGGCCTCCAGAGAGGGTTATTAATATTGAAGTGTAAGAAGTAGGTGCCTAGAAGCCGCAGTTTGGAGGAAATGCTCGTGTTAAAGGTTTTGCCTTGAAGAAATGAGTCTGGGAAGTTAGATTTTCTTTTGGAAAAAGGATAATAGTACTTAACATTCTGTTTGTCTAGAATGTTAAGTTTCTGAAGTGCTTTCTCCTACAGTCTCATTTTTTTTGGTCAGATATAATTTTAACATCTCTAATTAAACGTTTTAAAAAATAAGTTCCACATCCTATATGAAAATGAACATAACTCTTACTACATGGGAATTAGTCTGTGAATGACATGGGAAGGAGTTTGCATTAGAGAATCCAATGAAACATCCCTTGCGAAATGGAACTAAGCTAAGCGCCTCCTCTCTAGTCACCAGCTAACGGTCTTGTTGGTGCTGTTTGTCTCAATCACTGCACTTGACACTAGCAGTCATTTGCCTCCTACTTAGAAGACCCGATTTCCTCCCTCTAGTCTTTCTCCCATTGGATTCCCATGATTAACAGCTCTCTCACTGCTCCTCTTCAGTCTCCTTCCCTAAGCTCAGCCTCTTCCTGAGCTCACTCAACAAATGAAGACATTTTCTGAGATCCTGTCCTTAAACACTCATTGTCAGAGTCTGAACAGGTACCGAATACCCTCCATGTGCCAAGAACTCCATTGAGTGCTAAGACTATAGTGATGGGTCCTGCTCTCAAGGAGCTCACAGTCTGTCGAGATGACCTTAGACAAAAAAATTCGAAAGGTTAATTACAAGTTTTGATAAGCACTATGAAGGAAAAATATAGCACACTATTCAGAGCAATACAACAGGGGACCTAACCCAGTGTGGAGGCGAAGGAAGGCTCTCTGAGGCAGCGATGCTTGAGCGGTGATGTGAAGAAAGCACATATGTCACAGTACGAGCAGACCCTGTGTGGGGACGGAGGCCGATGAGCTGGTGGAAGGAAAGGAGGGCCAGCGTCAGGGCAAGGGCACAAGAGACGGAGGGGAGGAAGCATCTGGCGGCCGCGCATGAGACCGACCCCCAGACAAGGCCGGCGCTCTGTGGCCCGATGCTCAGCTTCATACAAGGACCCATGACAGCCCAGTTTGTTAGCATCATCCGAACCATGTGACTGCTAGCTGAATATTTACACACGGATGTTTTCACGTCGCCTCAAACTCAATTCATTATATTTGATCTGGACTTTTTCTGTTATTGTTAACCATCTCCTAACTAGTTATCCAGATGCAAACTTATCAGCTGGAACCACCAGAAAGCAGGGCGCACCAAATTCAAACTAGAAGCAGACTAGATAACTACATGACCGATGGAAGTAGGGCTGCAATAAGAGTTCAAGGCCATGCATTCTCAGAACTCAGATCCCAGGGCCGGCCGAGTGGCGCAATGGTTAAGACCTGGCTTGGGACGCCAGAGGGCCCTGGTTCAGATCCCACATATGAGGGCCAGTGACACTGCCCTCTACAGCTAAGATGCTGAACAACAGCTCAACCTGGAGCTGGGCTGCCGTGAGTCACCAGCATCGGTGTAGGCTGCAGCCTCTGCTGCAGTGGGTTGCCATGGGCTACCGTGTGTAGCCAGCAGCCAGCGTGAGCGGCCGTACAGAAGCCGGCGACTGATCTGCCTCGCCTGGGAAGAGCGCAATGATGGTGCCAACTTGGGCCAGTGAAGCAACGTCCTCCAAAAAAAAACTAAAAAAAAAAAAAAAAAAAAAGAACTCAGATCCCATTTCATTAGTCCTGCTTTTTAGTAATAACAAAACGAAACAAAACAAAAAATTCCAAACCTCTCAAATTCTTAAATGTAAGTATTTGATAAACACTGGAAACGTATGACTTAAAAACGAATTACTACAGGGCTGGCCAAGTGGCTCAGTTGGTTAAGAGCTTGCTCAAGAGTGTGAGCTCTGAGCAACAGGGTCGCCAGTTCGATTCCTGGCCCGGCCCAAGCTGAGCTGCCAACAGGTGGCAGGATGGCTCAGCTAAAAAAAAAAAAAAAGAATCATTACAATTATACATTAAAATATTTGACAGCATCATTTTAGGAAGTGCATAATTTATTACATTTATGAACTCATAATAAAACAAACTTCTCTGGACCCTTAAAAATATGTTAGGAGTAATAATTAGATGTAAATTTCTCAAATCTGGGAACCTAAAATACTAAAATTCTAGCATTTTCTTAAAATCTCTTTCTCACGATTATCTTAGTTTGAAAATTATTATGTTCTTCCAAGGAAGAAAGGGGGAATTAAAAACTAGACACATTAATGAGGCAAATGAGTTCTCAGCTGGCTTTATTCTCCACAGAAGCTCAATATAGCATTATGTTTTCTTTACTTACAGGAAGCTGTCACCGTTCTGTTGTTTTCCAATAACCCTCAAAACAGAATGGAAAATGCTTATGCAGACGACACAGGCCCAACCACTCTCTGCAGGTCTGACTGCTTCCGTGCACTGCTGGTCCAACAGCCGTCCCCACGCCAACGTTCTGTGAGTGAACGATGACTATTTTTAAATATTTTCCAGATTTATCATGGAGGCTGCTTTTCTTCTCTGCACTGTAATCATACTGAGCTGCAATGAAAATAAACAATCAGTAAACAGTTACTTTTTCTGTGGAAAACTTTAGACTAATACAAAGTATAATGCATCACAACTTAAAGTTACTGAGAACAATCTTATTGGAAGGGGTCTTGTAAGAGGTCACCTTTTGTGTTCATTTCTATTTTACTCTTGAAACTTTAAAACGTCTATATCACTCTAGAGAGATATAAGTCAAATACGACATTCCATAGCTCAGTGATTCTAAAATATATTTTACAGATGGATGAGGAACATCTAGATAAAAGTTAACCAGAAAAGTGGCTAAAACACAAACTAAGTGTATGCCAGCACACTGCAGGGCTGGTAAAAAAAAAAGATGGGTCATAGTAAGAAGCGTCTAATAGGTAAATAATCTTTAGTTATTAATAGAATTGATTAAAATTGATATGGAGTATACACATAGTAACAAAAACAAAAACAAAAACTGAACAGGACAAAACCCCCTCCAAAGCCTAACAGTGTACTGGTATAGCATAAAAAAGTCTTCCCATCACTGTCCTTCATTCCACAGCCCCCTTGCCAGAAACCACCACTATTTTTAGTTTCTAAGTATATTTCTTGAAATATTCTAAATGAGAATATATGCGTATATTTCCTCATCCTTTTTTCTTTAAGAAATAATAAAGTAGTTTACAGACTTTTCATCTTGTTTTTTTCTTGCTAAACGATCTACCTTAGAAATAGCTCCATATTAGATCTATATACTTTATTCCTTTTAACAGCTCAAACTTCCCCTGCATGGATATTCTATATAACTTTACTAGTTTCCTGTTGATGGGCTTTTAGATAGTTTTTAATCTTTTAAAATTTTACGCACAGCTGCAATTAGTATTGGACATGCTGCTTTGGATGGACTTGCCCAGTAGCGAGTACACCACCTGTGGAATAAATTCTGAGAACTGCTGGGTCAAAGGTTATGTACATTCACACGTTTTGAGAGATACGACCCAGCTGGGCTCCTCAGAGGCTGCACCAATGCACATTTACATCAGTGACGTGTGAAAAGTGCCAGCAGTTTATCATCGGACTTCATGACCTGACAGGTGAGAAGTACGTGAACACAGTTTTAATTTGCACTTGTCTTCTGGGTGAGGATGAGGACCTTCTATGATGGTCACAGGCCATCTCTGTCTATTGCACTGTAGCACTGTTGCTGTTGGCTTAGTCGCTTTTTCATGTGTTTGGGAATATTAGCCTTTTTCTCATATGTGTTGAAATACTTGTGTCAGTCTGTCATTGACTTTTCTTAATGCAGAAATTTGAAATTTTACATATTGGTTTCTTTCCATAGTTGCTAGGTTTCATGTTCTTGCAGTGAAAGGCTACACCACACTTATTTTTAAGAATGCCATCCCGTTAACAGGACACAATATGGCATTCAGTCGCTTAGGGGGATACACTTAGAACATGTGACCACAGTCCAAAGAATGATGAAGGATGTACAGCAAAGGAAAATCAGAAGAGCACATTTAGAACGTGACACGTCAATACAAGGCGGGGCTTGTGCTGAACCATGGATGTGATGCTGGGCTGCACTGCCCAGTGCGACGTGTTGGAGACAACGATAATCCTTTAACTCCGTTATTCATTAAGTACCAGGCCCTTAGCAGGATATTATTTCTAATAGCAATTTCCATTTTTCAGAGTAAAATGGGAAAATTAGAAAGAATTCAGAAAAGGCAAAGATAAAGGTCTTTAAAAACTGAATATATTTCTCATAAAGAAAGTTCATGACGGACTCATTTAAAATGGGAAAAAAAATATGAGCTCCAGGGAATAAATTCCTTTTTGTGTATGGGGAGAAGGCTGAGTGATTACTTTCCATCTGCGAATGGGAACAAAATGGAGGGAGAAAAGCTTAAGGAAAACTTTGTGAGATGGTTACTGACAAAACATTAAACAGAAAGCTCACAGAGAAAGGTGGGATCTTTGCCACCAGAGAGAGAAGCGGCAGGAGAGCTGCGGGGACGGCTTAGGTGGAATTCTGTCTGGACGGAGACTACACTGGACACCAGATGGATGATCATCAAGGTTCTGTAACTGGACCCTTTTTACTACAGAACTGAAGGTGGTTGATTTTAAGTAGCATTTTCTTTACCATATTCCTTTAAAAAGGTAAACTTGAAGCTTTAAGGATTGTGATATAAGAAACTTAATTTCTTTTATATCTAAGTACCCACTTATTATTTAATGACTATGCTAAGTGCTTTATATGTGTGAATCCCTTTGATCTTTCTGCAACTCTGTAAGGGAAGTGTTATTATCCTCCGTGAGACATGAGGAAACTGAGGCTTAGAGACATGAAAGCTGCCCAAAGTCACAAGGCTACTTGCCTGACACCAAAACATACTCAACATACTTCCTGGAACTCCGGGGCTCCTGCTACTTCATAATTTACATTAATGAATGAGTTCTTGAATGATTAATACATTAATTCACAATTTCAGAAGAAATTAAACTTATTTGATAAAGCTATAATTACTTTCACGAGGAAAGGAAACAGAGGGCAAATTATTATTGGATTTTATTTAAGTGCCACGCCATGTTCATACTGCAAGTAGATTTCAAAAAAAAAAAAAGAAAAATCTATAAATTCACAAACATAAGCTGAATTCAGTGAGTAGAGTTGCTTTATTATGTAGAAAATACTGTATAAAATAAACTAAGAATGCTACTTTTGAATAAAATATCACATTTATAACCAAATATAATTAATAATGTACTAACTTGGTCTGCTTTTGTCTGCCTGCCTACCTGCCTACCTACATTGTTTCCAGCTTATCTTTATAGTCATTAAACTGGTCTCATTTTGTCCCAAATAGGAGGGACTATTGCTCCTACTTTAGAACAAAAGGCCCATTTCATTATGATGTGTGTGCACTATGATGTGAGTAATTACGCCTCAGTATTTCATCAGGGCTCTGCATTTTCTAACGCTACTTCCCATCGGACTTTATATCATATTTTAGATTATTTATGTGGCCATACACAAATGTGCATTAAATGAAGTTAAACTATACACCAAGTAATTTTTTTCCATTTAAAAACTACAATAAAAACGAAGTTAGTGCAATCCAAAATAGTGCATTCAAAGCAATGTTATCTACTTCCCAATCTGTCCACCTCCTAGCTTTACACATAATTATAAAGCAGTGCTGTCCAACAGAACTTTTTGTGATGATAGAGTCGTTCTGTATTTATGCTGTCTGAAGACAGCCAGAGCCACATACCGCTTACTGATCACTTGAAATCTAATAGTTTAAAAAAAACAACTTATTTTTAAGATTTTTATTAAGATATAACTAACATACAATATTATATTAGTTTCAGGTGGAAACCATAGTTTTTCAGCATTTATATACCTAAAGAAGTGATCACCATAAGTCCAGTAACCATCTGATACAGTACAATGCTATCGCAATATTATTGACTATATTCCCCATGCTGTACATTACATCCCCATGACTTATTTGTTTTATACCTGGAAATTTATACCTCTTATTCCCCTTCACCTCTCCCCTCTTTTTTAATTTTTCAATTACAGTTAACATTCAGTATTATATTAGTTTGAGGTGTACAGCATGGTGGTTAGATGAGGCTTTAATTTTTAATTTTACTTCATTTTAATTATTTTAGTGGCTATCATATTGGACAGTAGTTCTAGATTTAGGAGTCAACTGGAGAAGACTGATGTTCATTTCTGTTTCTAAAGTTTACCTTTTCAACCTCAAATACTAGAGACTACTTTTCAATAGTTTAATCAAGTAAAAACAAAACGACTAGTTCTCTGGGAACTTTTGAGGACCTTCCCTTGGCTTTGGTCCGGCAGAGGACTTATTATCCCCGGACAATGAGGATGCACCCACCTGCTGGGAAGCAGAGGCCGCTCTCTGCTCCGCCTGACTTAGACGCTTCTGAAGTCTGCTGGCTTTTTCTTGCTGCTCTAGAATTAACTTTTCACTCTATTAAGAGGAAATGTAAAACAAACAAGTTAGAAATCCACACGTGACATGGAGACGTTATGGAATAATCAATGAAAAATCTGTACATCATTTTACCATGTAAGAAATGCAGAGATAATATATCTCTAAATTTCCATTTTTTTCAAGTTATGAACTTTGAAGTTCCAAGTTGGTTTTACATTCTGACAGAATTGTTTTCACCCCTACATGCCAAAAACAACAACAAGGAAGTGAATGAAATCCAAAACAAAGTGAATCAGAAGTTAGGAACAAGACTTTCGATTTCTGATCTGTTAACTGCAGATGCCAGTTCACTGCCTCGGATGTGGAGCCCTCCAGCCAGAGCTTCAGGAGGACGTGAGTCCTGGGAACGTGCAGCCCACCCCGTGCCCCTGGCACTGCCCTGCTGGCCGGTGCGCTTAGAGCCACTTTGCTAGGTGAGCTTCTAGGAAAACTGTGATGTCACCATGACGACAGCTCAAGGAACAGAAAATATCCATTCCAGAAATCCTAATTTTTACAGAGCCAGGCGTGTCTTAAATGATTTATATGCTAAAGGTATGCTTTAAAAGGGGAAGAACTCTGTTTCTACATGTTCCCCCAAACATCTGTACACTCCAGAGGGTATTAGGGCTAATAGAGTTATTAAGGTATTGTTATCGGCTGCATTATGTCCCTCAAAGAAGATGCTGAAGTCCTAACCCCTGGTACCCAGGATGTGGCATATTTGGAAATGTTCCCCTCCCCCAATTCCCCAACACTGTTCCCCTCCCCAATTCCCCAATAAAAATCTTAAAAAAAAAATGGAATGGATTAAAAAAATAATCTCAGAAGTAGAAATAAAGAAGATCCTAACACATTCCCTGAAACACTGCACAAATATACTGGTAAAACTGAAATAAGAGCCCTACCTTTTGTCATTTACATATGATGAATACTGACCTTCAAAGCTTTTATTCACATTAAGTGTGGACTGCTAGGGCTATGGATGATTTCTACACAAAACACATCTGTCTGGTCATTTCCAAGTAGAGAATTAACTTGGACTTGGCTCAGGTAAAACCCTACAACGTGCATATCAGGCAGCTGCAGAAGCCCTTCCCAGGAGAGTCATTATCTCACCTCAGCTACCTTTTCATTCGCCATTTCCAGCTGAGAAAGCAGGTCTTGAGTATGAAGCTTCTGTCGACTCAGCTCACTCCTATTAATCCAGAGAGAGAGAGAGAGAGAGAGAGAAAGCCATTAATATAACTGCTCAAAACCTAGTAAAATAGAATCTTTATTAGTAAGATACACGTTCATGTTTTAAACAAAAATATCTTGTATGTAAAATAGTTACTTATTAATAGACTACATCTTAAAGGACTCATTCATTTCTTCATAAAATGCTCATATGTTCTAGAGATTGGTTGTACAACAGCAGAGTATACTTAACACTATTAAGCTGTACACCTAAAAATGATTATGATGATAAATTTAATGTTACATATATTTCATCACAATTTTAAAATGGTTAAAATGGTACATTTTATGTTATAATTCACGGTAAAAACAAAACAAAACAAAACTCCCCCACATATATATTAAAAGTGTCAAAGTTTCTTCAATATTATTATCTTGAGGTATTATTTGGCATTAAAGTGAAAGTATATTCCTATTAAACAGATATAGTATTTGTTAGAGAATCTCATAAGCTATTGGGATTCTTGGGTATAGCATGCATTTTTAAGATTCATATTCAGTGCTTCTTAGAGGAGCGCATTTCTCGGAAAGCTAAGGTGAATCATTCCACCATCACGTTGGTTAGTATATTCAGGACTGGTATTTAGTTTGGTTGTATACGTGCTATGTTTTATACATTCATATCTTTTATGCAGTATTAGCTGGATTAGCTTATGCACAGAACTTTTTTTTTCTTTCTGTTCCACATATATGCATTATATTGTTTTTGGCCAAAGGTAATTTCAAGAGTCCCAGGTCAGAAGTAGATACAACATAGTCTTAAAAATAACTTAAAAAAAAGATCAAATCAGTTTCTAAGTAATTCAGGATTGGTTTTTATCCTTTGGCCTCACTTCTGCTTCTTAAATAAATCATCAGATTATGACTTGCAAAATAACTTCAGATTTGATTTTTTTTCAAAGGAGCTACACAAACAGCTTAAAAACTTGGTCTCTCAAGTGTCCTATATTTGAATAAATAGCTGTTAAAATCCGGAAGCGATTTGTTATAAATACATAGGCGAGAACAAAAAAGGATGTCGCCCACAAATCAATTCAACAAATATTTACTGAGCAGTCTTTATGGGCCAAATGCAAGATTTATGGTGGTAAACACAGAGCTGTTGCCATAACAGAACTTACAGACTAAGGAGGAGGTGGCTTATTCTCACTCAGCAGCTTCATCAATACAGGTCACTGACTACGAGGAGCGGAAGTATTTGTTATTGCTTCTGTGGCAGACAAACCCAAATGTTTTATCTTGGCTTTATTTTGGTGGTAATGACAATGTAGAGTCAATTATTGTGCCACTTTAAAGTATTTCAGGTAGCTTAAAAATCTTGCTGCTCCCCAACAAAGCAAAACAAAACAAAACACCACATCATGCAAAATGACTGAAGGGGCCAGTCTTCCAGGCCAAGTGTAATTAAAGGTCAAAGTTATGCACATTAGTGCTGATGAGAAATAACCTTTGAGTACTACTGAGATTAAGATAAAACAATGATCACATTTATAAAATCAGTCAACATTTAGTTTACAGAAAGCCTTTTCAGAAAACACCTACTGAACAATCTGTCTCAACTATCCACTTATTTACCAGTCACAATTTACTGGAGTGATAGTAATACTTTCTAATAAACACTATCAGATAGTAATAATTTTCCACAAAATTTAAGATCACAAAGATACAAATTATTAGCTTTAAGCTACTTTTTATTGTGTGAATATTTATTCTGTTGTGTATCGAGCTTCTCACCCCCGCTGGAGGTTGAGCAGCTTTATCATTCGTCTTGGTCTCCTTTTAATCAGGTACCCAGCAGAGCTTCGCAAATAACAGTGAAGGTGATGGCGATGATGATGATGGTGATGATGATGGTGATAAAGGCAGCAAACACTTGCACAGTGCTTACCATGTGCCAGGCCCTATTTGAGGTGCTTTATATAAATTAACTTAGTTTTCATGATAACCCTACGAGATCCCCAGTTTTACATATGAACAAATTAAAAGACAGACACGTAAAACTAAGTTAAGTAACGTGCCTAGAGTCACATAGCTAGTCAGTTGTAGAGTCATGGTTGGAAAACCAAGCCCTTTGGGTGCTCTGAGCCACACTCCCCAGGACTGCAGCCTGGCAGGAACTGCTAAGTGAACAGTGAAAGACTGTGTATGTGCGCGTGTACTGGGCATCCTAGAAACACAAATATTTACACATTTATATGAGAACAGAACAAGTTATATCTTAACTTTCGATGTGTTTCCTAAAGGTTTGGTCCTACATTCAAACTTAACATGCCTAACATCAAACGTCCCGCATTGCCTCGTAAGCCTACTTCTCATCCCGCGACTCGACAACATCTGTGCCCTCATTGCCTAAGTTAAAAACCTTCAAGTCGGGCCGGCCGAGTGGCGCAATGGTTGAGAACTCGCTTGGGATGCCAGAGGGCCCCGGTTCGGATCCCACATATGAGGGCCAGTGACACTGCCCTCCACAGCTAAGATGCTGAATGACGGCTCAGCCTGGAGCTGGGCTGCCATGAGTCGCCGGCGACGGCGTGGGCTGTAGCCCCTGTGGCAGTGGGTTGCCATGGGCTACCGTATGTGGCTGGCGGCCAGCGTGAGCGGCCAGCAGCCGCAGTGAGCGGCCGTCCAGAAGACGGCGACTGATCTGCCTCGCCCGGGAAGAGCGCGGTGATGGTGCCAACTTGGGCCAGTGAAGCAACGTCCTCCACAACTAGACTGAAGAACAAAACGACAGCAACTTGTCTGTTCCCCTTCCCCCAATTCCCCAGCACTGTTCCCATCCCCCCAATTCCCCAATAAAAAATCTTTAAAAAAAAACAAAAACAAAAAAACAAACAAACAAAAAAAACCTTCAAGTCAACTCTGTTTCTCACTCTCTCTTAAATGCAACATCTAGTTTGCCCCTAAAGAGATCCTGCCTTTGCAATGTCTCTAGCATCTAGTCTTCATTTCTATTCAGTGTTACTATCACAACTTAAGTTCTTATAACCTAATTTGTAGACATACTGCCTGAGCCAACTGCTCAGGTGTCTCAATGGCAAGTTAAGAATGCCTGTGACGTACCGGCCACGGTGCACGGAGGGCGGAGGGAACGCGGCCGTCTGCCCCGCTCGCTCACGCCACTAGCACGTTTCTCTTTCTAAAACACCGCTTTAATAATTTGCTCCCATGGATGATCATTTCCAGGGCTCTCTGCTGTTGGACAAACTAGTCCAAATTTCTGAGATTGGCATTCAAAATCATCCCAAATTCTGTGTAATTTACCTTTCCAACCTCATCTTCAATAAGAGCCCTCCACTTCAGTTAGGCTCTCACTATCTTGAAAGCAAACCATACAGGTATCACCATGAGGCTCACGTTATGCCATTTTCTGTAACCTCTTTTTTAGATTTGCCATCAAAATCCTGCGCATTCTGTAAGATTCCACCCTTGTCCCACTTCTTTCCAAAATTCCTTCCCAATTCATTTTAACTCAGGCTGGTCTCGTTTCACATCAAAGCTTTATACTAATTTTAGGTACAAGACTTTTAGCAATTCCATATTATAATGCTAATCAGTAGATTATACTGTATGTACATGTACATACTTACACACACACACACACACACACACACACACACACACACACACACACCCTCCCCCAAGAATAACAGAAATTTTTAAAAAGGGGATTGTTTTGATTTCCACAGTACCTACCACAGTGCTTTATACATAGAAATTCAATAAATATTTGCTTATTTATGGCTAAATTCCTATAGAAAACCAAGTAGTTAGAAAATCGTATTCCTTATTTGCTTAGCAAACATTTACTGAGGAATCCAACACAAAACATATTTTAGATACAGATTATTTTTATTTATTTAGGTTTATTTATATTCTACCTCTTTGTACAAAGGATTTGAAGAGGCTAAGAGAAGGTTATTTTTCAGTTAAGCATTTCCTCTTCTGAATGAAATACTAAAAGGTATGAAAGGGTGGAGAGAAAAGTGGTTTTGCCAGGGACCCCCTGAGACTTTCTAGAGCCTGCCTGTTAGTACTTTGCAGCTGCTCGTTTCTCTGACAGGTTCTTATTGTAGGGGCCAAGGAAAGACCCAGGAGGGTGATCTGACTCTGTGTTACCTGTGAGAAATTTTCTCTTCATTAGATAACATAATTGAGAGTACCCTGTATCATTAGTGACTTGGAAAAACATTAGATAAGACTTTGCACAAAGCTTCCCAGTGGTGCTACAGTTGAAACACATGCCAAGTAAAGCTGTGCAATCGCTCCCCTGGAAATTTTTAAAAACAGGTCCACTCTAACCGGTCAGGGAGGATTTATGTGCAGCCGGCCAGAGGTAGGGCTATAGATGGCATCTCCGGTTTCCAGCTTCTGTATGACATTATGGCACTGAAAGACTACCTCGCACTAATAAAAGCATTTAAATAAAACTGTACCCTGCGTCTCTATAATTTCTGGCATAGTGTGTAATATGTTATAAGGTTTAAGGTAACATTATGATCGTCCACCAATTTTAATGTAAGTATAGAAGAATGAGGAATTCCTTATAATATCACTGGGAATTGCTTAGCCCATCAGTGTCCTAAATATTTTTGCAGTTCACTGATATAATTCATGTGTATGTGACAGATAACCTTAATCATGCCCAAATATAATTTAGGAATATACAATAGTTGTAAAATATAATTGATTTACTACCTTCTGCGTAAATACAATTTTAAGAAATAATTTATATGCAATGTAATTTATGCTGAATCTATTAAGAAAACATTAAATATTAAATGCTTTAGTAAAAAAATATTATAATCAAGATGGATAAGTCACCAAATTCTTCAATTCGAGATGCAAGTAGGTGAAGGGTGAGAACCTAAAGCAAGGGTTCTTCACGTGTGGACCGCGGAGGGGCCGCCGGTGTGTCACCAACATCCTGAAACTGTAAGCAAGATCCTGTGTGTTTGT